AAGCATATGCAAGGTGAGAGCTGTAAGAGAGTTTTGAGAAAGCGTTAACGGAAGTTAGACGGGAACGGGCTAAGACTGGGTAAAGCGGGCCTTTACGGACAGAAAAGGAGCAGAAGGGGAAACGGTGCTGGAAGATATTAAAAATACAGCTAATATTTATCTGATGGTGAGAAATGATATAAGTAATTAGCTATAGCAGGTTGTTAAGGAACTGACTAATGTGTTTAAAGGTTATTACAGCTTGTTTTTAAATCTACTTATAAAGCAGATAAAGACAGATTATAGTAACGGATAAAGGTCTAATTACTATAAGGTTGGTAAAGGTAAGATAACTAAATAAAGGTTAATATAACTCTTACGGTTTAATATATTATTAAACAGATTGTAAATTTAAAGGTCTTTAACAGATAGATCTTATTAAGGTTTAATACTTAAGAATAATGTAATTACTAACGTAAGGAATTAAAAGGTCCCTTACCTTATTATAGACACGATAATAGTATTTATATTAAAATATGTAAAAGTAACTTTATACCTTACCTGGTGTTTTTATTAGGTGCCTGGTGTAAGGCAGGAGCGCTTTACGTAAAGTGGAAATACTTAACGTAAAGCGCCTTTTATGTAACAGAGTAATGCTTACACACTGAGGTCTGTGGTCCTGGCTTTACTTAACGTCTAGTGGTACCTTTACACAGGTTATAGTTAAACCATACCACTTTATAGGGTTTATTACACAATTCCCCCTCTTTTTTATTCTTTTTCTATAAAGAACTTTACGTGGGTTTTTTCCTCTTTTAACTGTTCTCACCATTATACCTGCTAACGTAATTAAGAAACGATAAAAGAAATAATTAAAATCTTCGTCTACCTGTCGCCTTTGCTTTATTAAGTCCTTTAACACTTTTAACGTAAAGATGTTCTTTTATTCCCGTTATTAGTTAAAGTTTTTAATATGTTAGGTTAATGGTTAGTCAGACAGTTATAAGGAGTGTTAACGCTCCGGTGTCGCTTTGTTATGTGATGTATTTAGTTATTTAGATAAGTTTTTAAAAAAACTCGTAGATAAGAAATAAAGGTTAAATATAAAGTATAATAAGGCCTTAACTCGTCACGATAAGGCCTTAACTTATCTTTATTATGTAAAGCGTTAATACTGCGTTATTAAAACTAAGGCTTTAAAGGCTTTTTCTTAAGAGGTTAAGGTGTTTTCCTTTTAAGAGAGGTCTGAGAAAGCCTTACTTTTAGTTTCTGTGGAAAAGGGGCCTTTTAAAGGGGCTGTTTTCCTAAAAGAGGCCCTTCCCTTTAATTAAGATTAAGACTTGTTCTTTAAAGGTTCTGGCGTTTATTTTAATAAGTCGTTACTTTTTACGTTAAGCTTATAAGTGTGGTTTTATAAGTAAGTTTAACAAATAAAATAATCTATTAATATAATAATTAATATATTTCTTTATTTAATAAAAGGTTATAAGTTTAATCTTTATATAAGTTAATTAACGTTTATCTTTTTATAATCCTTTAATTATACTGTCTAAGTCCCTTAAAACGGGGCGCTACAGTAAGTAAGAGCCTTATATGACAGATGTAGATCCTGTGTAAAGCTCCTTCGATAAGTCAAGTAGTTTAAGAATGCTGTTTAAAATGGGAGGTAAATTCCTTTTAAAGCTAAATATTAGCTAAAGACCAATAACGTATAAGTAAAATAATCGAAAGATAAAAAACACTTTAAAAAAAGGGTTAAACAGTACGTGAAATTGTTAAAAGGGAAGCGCTTATAACCAGACTTACGCTAAGCTAATTATCCAGTGTTCTTACCGGTACACTTAGCCTAACTTAGGCCAGCATCGGTTTTAGTAAGGGGATAAAGGCGCTGGGAATATAGCTTCTCCAGGAGTGTTATAACTCGGCGTGTAATACCCCTGCTAGGATTAAGGTTTGTATATTTGTAAGGATACTAGTATAATAATTATTAACAACCTGTTTTAAAACATAGATTAAGGAGTTAAGGTTTTACGTAAGTGTTTAAGTGTTAAACCTGTACGTGTAATAAAAGTAAACGTAAGTAAAAGCTTTAGCGTATTATTAACCAATCCTAATATATTTAGATAGATTTAAGTAAAAGCGTTAAGCCTTAGACTTAAAAGATGGTAAACTATACTTAGATAAGGTGAAGCTAGAGGAAACTCTGGTAAAGGATCGTAACGGTTCTGACGTGCAAATCGATTGTTAAATCTAAGCATAAGGGCGAAAGACTAATCAAACCATCTAATAACTAGTTACCACCGAAGTTTTCCTTAGGATAATAATGTTATTCTTCAGTTTTATAAGGTAAAGTGAATAATTAAAGACTTAAGGGTATTTTATAACCTTTATCTATTCTTAAACTTCAAATATGTAAGAAGCTCTTATTACTTAATTAAACGTAAGCATTTAAATGTACTAATATTAATAGGCTATTTTTAATAAGCAGAACTGGTAATACAGGATAAACTAAACGTGGGGTTAAAGTGCTAAAGTAAACACTTATCAGACATTATAAAAGGCATTAGTATATCTTAATAACAGGACGGTGGTTATAGAAATCGGAATCCGCTAAAGACTGTGTAATAACTCACCTGCTGAATATACTAGCTCTGAAAATAGATAGCGCTTAAACGTCCCACTTATACCCCGCCCTTAGGGTAAAAACAATGCCTTAAGGAGTAGGCAGCCGTAAAGGTTAGTGACAAAGCCTAGGGCGTAAGCCCGGGTCGAACGGCCTCTAGTGCAGATCTTAGTGGTAGTAGTAAATACTTTAATAAGAACTTAAAGGACCGAAGTGGGGAAAGGTTCTATGTAAACAGCGGTTAGATATAGGTTAGTCGATCTTAAGCTATAAGGAAGTTTCGTTTTAAAAGGGCACTTATGCCCTGTGTGGTAAAAGGGAAGCTGGTTAATATTCCAGCACCTAGATATAGGTTTTACACAGTAACGTAACTAAACACAGAGACGACGGTAAGAGCCCTAAGCAGAGTTCTCTTTTCTTCTTAACGGTTTATCACCTTAAAAACAGTTTATTTAAAGATAGGGTTTAATGGCTAGAAGAGCCCGACACTTTTATCAGGTTCGGTGCGCTTTTAACGTTCTTTAAAAATCCGTAAAAAGGAATAATTCTCACACTAGGTCGAACTTATAACTATAGCAGGTCTTTAAGGTAAACAGCCTCTGGTTAATAAAATAATGTAAATAAGGGAAGTTAGTAAAATAAATCCGTAACTTTAGGAAAAGGATTAGCTTTAAAGGTTAGGTGTGTTAGGCTTTAGGCAGACGCCTTAGGAGCAGAGGGCCTCTAGCTAGGTAACCGGCCGGCGGCCTTTAACATCCAGGTGCTGATGCCCTTAGCAGTCTTCGGGCGTCTGGTGCACGTTTAATAACTAACTTAAAACTAGTACAGACAGGGGGAATCTAACTGTTTAATTAAAACATAGCATTACGATAGCCAGAAAGTGTTGTTAACGCAATGTGATTTCTACCTAGTGTTTTAAATGTTAAAGTGAAGAAATTTAACTAAGCGTAGGTAAACAGTAAAAGTAACTATAACTCTTTTAAGGTAGCTAAATACCTATTACGGCTGGCAAGAGAAAGGTGGTAAGGAAATAATAGGTTTATTGCTAATACGAGAACTATTAGTGAAGAAGAGAGAGAGAGAAATCTAGAGGCGTAGCCCTGGATTCCTAATATAGCTCGGAGAGCCCTATCGATAAGGAGTGGGGCCAGTGGCTATAAGGCAGCCACCAGCCACTAGACCATATCACGTACGTGTAGTGGTGCCGCGCTATACTGTAATATCACCCCCTTAATTTGTTAGCGATTTGTTACGGCCTGCTTCTGGCTCTACTGGGGACTTGGACAAAGACAGATCGTAGTAGCGGATAAAGGCCTAATTGCTATAAGGTTGATGGGGATAAGATGACTGAATGAAGGCTAGCGTAACTTTTACAGGATAATATACTGTTAAGCAGATCGTAGATCCAGAGGTCCCTGACAAATAGATCTTACTGAGGTTTGGTGCTTAAGAATAATGTAATTACTAGCGTGAGGAACTAAGAGGTCCCTTACTCTATCGTGGGCACGATAATAGTATTTATATTACTAAGTCCTGGTAGTACCCCTGTACCTTGCTTACTTTGCTTACAGCAATTACCTGTAATTAAGGTAAGTAAGGTAAGTATAATTACAGGCTGTTTACAGTGCTTACTTATAATAAGGGTAAGCAGAGTAAGCACGCTCTGTATGTATTATTTATATACACTAAGCTACGTACTGTGCTTCCTGTAAGGTTATATCGGTCCGGCCTAACCCCTCCTGTAATTATAAGTCGTGACACGATTCCCCTCTTCAATCGTTCTTTTTCCATAAAGAACTCTAAAGGTAACTTCCTTCCTTATAACCTTTTATTATACCTGCTGACGTAATCTTAAAATAAAAGAAACTAAGGTTATTATCCTTTAATCGTCGTCGTGACACCGCCCTTTTTATCTTTACATTTAGCATCGTAATGCCTATCCGCTACTCCTGTTACACATACCTTAACCTTATGTGTAAGGTGGTAAGTAAGAGTAAGTTATGCGGAAACTACGTGGTTTCTGGTGGCCTTAGGTTTTCCTTATATAACGTGTATAGTAACGACCTGGCCGAGCTTTATAAGGTTTTTAAGGAAAAGAAACGCTTTAATAAGGAGGAACAGGTAACGTTTACAAAACTGCTTTAGACACAGGTAAAGCTACTGCGTTTAAAGGATTAGTAGAAATCTCTAACTACTTGTGTAAACGAGTTATTCGGCTATAAGATCAAGATTATACAGGAGGAGGAGCTTTACGTGCCTGAGGCGTCTGTTAGTCCTTCTTCTCCTGTAATGTCGTTAAATTAAGACGCGTTTTTAAGTGGAGATCTTACTAAGTCGCCGCGGCTGGTAGTAGTTACTTAAATAGGGGGATTACAAGGTGAGTTTTAATAAATAAAATGGTCTGTTAGCGTAGTAGTTAGCGTGCTTACTTATAAAGCAGGAGGTTATAAGTTTAATCCTTACACGGGCTTTTAATACTTGATTTTCCAGGGGATAATCTCGCCTAAAAAGTCAGGTATCCCTTTCTTTTACATAACTAACAGTACCATTATAAGGTTTTCAGTTATTACACCTTAAACCGTATGGTCTTCTTTTTAGTTACTAGCTTTAATCGATTTAGATTTTAACGGTGGAACTCCTTAAGCCTATTTAAGCAGTTTAAGTTTTCAATTAGTTCCCATAAGTTATGTTCCAGTCCGTAATCAAGCCAGCTAATTAGATAATAAAGTTTTCCGTTACATACTTAAAAGTTTAAGACTTCTTTAACGTCAAAGTCTTCCTTATCTACTTCCACCTTAAGCTTCTTCTTAAGTGGGACATTTTTTAACACTGGTTTAAAGAGTAAGATGTGAAAAACCTTAGTTCGGACCTTTATCATAACTAATAGGTTAAGCTTATAATTTAAAGTGGCGACCTTCTTTACGATTCGGAACAGTCCGAATTTTTTAAAGTCGAGTTTTCTGCTAAATCGTTTTAAGTGCAGATTCTGCGTGAAAAGGTAAACGTACTCTCCCTCTTATAAATCTAATCCTTTAAATCTCTTATTATCGATATATTTCTTTATTCTTTCACAGGTAAATTCAAGTTCGGCTTTTAAGTGTTTGTAAAGCTTTTAAAACCTATCTGTACAGATTACTACCTGTGGTGCCTTAATCAGAGGCCTTTATCTTAACTCTGGCTTTTATCTAAACATTATGAAAAATAAAGAGATGTTAGTTAATTCGATAACGGTTATGTTATAGGTTATTTATGTTATTAGGAGTAGCTTAAACTAGTTATCTTATTTAAAGTTAACATATGCTTTAAGGTAAGTTTCGAGAATTTAGTTAAGTCGTTCCGTTTAGCCGTTAGTTTAAAGGTGGTAAGCTGTTAAGAGTTTACTACTAACACTTATCCTTATTATTAATCCTTACCAGAATTTAAAAACTAAGAGTTTATCTCTGTTAAAGATAATATTGTCTGGTTAAAGGTGTTATAACACAATTTCTTTTTTAAACATATAAGTAAGTTATTTTACTGTTATTATTTTACAGTACGGTAAAAAATATACCTATTTTATCAGTCTGTTAATAACTACTTAAATAGAGTTATAACTAACGTTTATCACGGGATTTTTAAAGTCTAAGATCCTGGTGATAAAGTTTATTAAAATCGAACTCCATAGCACTGTTAACGTTAGGAGTGGTTTAAGCAATCTGTATAGTTTATGTTATTTAACTTTAGTTCTGTTGTAAATGTCGTAATTGTTAACCACTTCTTTTACCAATACTTTTATTCTTAAGAAGGCGTAGCCTTACTAGGCTTATGTAAGTGTTTTTACCCTCCTTATATATCTACTAATTCTTACCTTATAAATTTGTTAAATATACCGGTATCGTTTTTTACAGCTATAAATATATAGTTTATCGTTATATTATAAGGTGTCGTTTTAGTCGTCTCCTCCTGTAACCTTTTTATCAACCTGCCAGACACTGTTATAGTGCTGGTATCTTAAAGGAATACTGTTATGTAAGTAATCTTAACAAGGGCGTCTTTTTTTCTTTCCACACTAGTTATATGCCCCTTTTATTCCTTCGTTTAAATAAAGCCCTTAAGTGAGGTCTTTTCGCCAGGCTTAGAAGTCCTCCTGTTACTAGTTAACTTAGTACTCCTAAAGCGTCGTTTATCGGATTTAAACGGTGTTTTTTAGTATCTAGTCTTCTGTTATTTATAATGTGTGTTTAAAAGTTCCGGTAGTTATTTCTTTAAACATTAGGAGTGGCTTAGGGTGTTTATAGGCTTAGTAATAGTCTGCTCTTCTGCTTAAAGCGTTAGCCTTTCTGTTTTCTTTTCCTTTAACGTGGTGGATTTTAAAGTGAAATAGGGCTAAGAGTTCTACCTATCTTACTTATCAGGGGGAGAGTTTTTTCGTAAAGAAGTATCTAAAGTTATTATAGTTAAAAAGAACTTTAACTGGTTTTTCTATACCTGTTAGATACAGTGCTTATTTAGTGAAATATTAAATAATTACCATTAGCTTTTTATTATAAATCAGGTATTAAAGTGCCGGTTTGCTGATTATTTTAAACAGGAAGGCGCACGGGTAATATTTCCTGTTATCCTGTTTTTAGCTGAGGACTCCTTTTAGGGCGAATTCAGATACGTCAGTTTCGACCTTAAAAGGTTTAAAAAAGTCTGGCATTATAAAGACTGGCGCTGTTATAAAGGCTTATTTTAAATCGTTAAGTACTTTTTAATGTCGTGTTATCTATACAAAGGGAACTCTTATTTTACATAACTTATGTAATAATTTAGCGATTTTTACAAAGTTTCGTATAAAGTATTAGTAAAAGTTTACTAATCTGAGGAAAAACTACACTTTTACTTATAAAGTCGGTATTAACCAGTTTTTTACTACCTTAACTTTTTTTAATTATATTATAATTTCTCCCAGGGATATCTTAAATCCTAAATAATTAAGTTCTTACACGTAAAACCTGCTTTTCTCTAGGTTTACCGTCAGCTTAGCTTATTTTAAAGCTGTTAGTACTTATCGTATATATTATTAGTGTTCTTTAATTATTTAAGAATAAATAAAGATATCGTTAACGTAAATAAACACGAATTTGTTAAAAAAGGGTCTTAACACGTAGTTGATTATATTTTAAAACGACGCAGGAGCGTTTATAAGTTTAAACGGTATAACCTAGTATTAGTAGTGATTAAAGGGTGTATAAAACGTGGTTTTATACTTATCCTCCTCTTTTATACAGATATGGTTAAACCTTATAAAGAAGTTAAGGCTGGTGAATTAATTAGCTTTTATTAAACGTTCCTTAATTTTAAAAATTAATAGTAAGGGGTAATAATTCTTAATCGTATCCTTATTAAGCGATCAGTAATCGATAACTATGTGAAGTTTTCTGTCCTTTTTTAAGACAAACAGGACTAGGTATCCTGTTAGTGATTAGGATTCCACGATAAAGCCGTTTCAGAGGTTTTTATTAATATACTCTCTAAAGGCTTCTTTTTATTTCGGGTTTATATGGTAAGTCTTAAAGAACTTTAGCTACATTCTTTCTTTTAACCTAATCTCGTGGTCTTAAGGTCTATATTTAGGTAAATCCTCGATCTTTTTCTTAAACAGTTAAAAATGTTAATATTCTTTTGGTACGTTACTTAAGTTAGTGCCTGGTTTCAGAGAAGATTTTTTCTTCTCTTAACCGTTATAATTATTAGTAAATCTGATCTATAACATTATCGGCTCTCGGGACTTAGTTCTTTTAAAGGGTACCCTGTAGGTAATGTGCTTTATACCGGTCTGTTCTTCCCTGGTTTATCGTAATACGCATTTTAGGCATGGGCTTAAGGCCTTATCGTTACGATTCCGAATTAAGAGGTAGCTACCTTTAAAATCTATCTAAGGATTATATTTCTTTAACCAGGTTTCTCTAAGGATTATGTTAAATCCTTTTACCGGCGTAATCTTAAATTCGATCTCTTACTTATCTCTGTCCACCTTAATTAGAAGTGTTAAAATATACGTAATCTTACTGTTATTATATAAGTATAGTGTTCCTTCTCTTAAAAAGACAGGGATTAGTTCTGGTAATTCTTCGTTAAGGAGTCTTTTTTTATTAATAAAACAGGGATTAATAAGGTTTCCTATACTTCCTGTATTAATTACTACTTAAGCTCGAAATAGTTTTCTATAACCGTTAGTTCCATCGACGTTAATAACGAAATATCAGCGGTTGTTTTCTATCGTAATTATTACTATAACTTCTTCTTAAGGTCTTTTTATACATATCCTTTAAGTGCCTCTTCTTCTTCTTAGGGCTCGCGCGAATTATCAGTTTAAAGGTTTACAGGCCCTCTAAAGGGCCTTAAACCGTTTCCCAAGTCCCTTTTTACTTATTATTATACTTTTAAGTAATCTTCCCTTTACCAGGGTTATTAAAGGTGAAGTTACCAGTATAAGTGCCTTTTATTATTACGTGAGTCTCGCTTAGAGTTCCAGTTAACGTCGAAAGGTTAGAAATTCTGGAATTCTTTAAGATAGCTTATTATAACTAATCAAAATTCAGGCGGGGTCCTTCTTATCTTTCTTCTACACACGCGGTTTTAACTTCTTTATTCGTGGCTTTACTATAATTCGTCTTGGCGGTTTTATCTTTCCTGCCATTAGTGCGCTTTCTTAGTTTGGTGTAAGAGGTAGTGTTTCTCCAAACAATAGGAAATATATCTGCCATTCCAGCATTTTAGTAACATGGGGTTTTAAAGAGTGATTATCCCTTCTCCCCATAACGGGTCCACCTTATAGAATTCTGGTTCCATATAGTTATAAACCGTTAACACCTTTTTTAGTCTTAACACTGTTAGGAAATGGTTATATAGGATTTTTATTCCCTAATGTGATGGTTCTTAGCAGCAGTTATAGATATAACTAATCCACAGGATATGCTAATATTCCTTATTATAAAGGAATACTAACAGGGTGGTGAATTATAAGTAAAGGGGTTAAGGTTTTATAATCTGTCTTATTTCTAAAATCCACACTTACTAGGGCTCCTTTATTATAGTCTAATCTTTAAAGTTACGCTAAAAAGCAGTCACGACTCTGTTTCCCTCTCGTCGTAAGATGTGCTTTAAATAGTTAACTTACCGGCTGATAGTTCTAAGTAACATATCTCTTCCTATTATCGTCTCGTCCTGTTAAACTTATTAGGATCTTTACATAAGTAGGGAGTGAATTTCCTCTAATAATCTGGTTATTAAGGAGCGTTTATCTTGTTTGGGTTTTTCTGCTCCTATTGTTAAGACGATGCTGCTCCTTAGCTCGTATTCTTCGGCTTCTTATTATTCAACCAGTTATGATCTCATCTAAGCGTTATCCTCCTGCTTAATCCTTAAAGGCGTTATAATCGTAAGCCTTTACCTAAATCGGTCAAGGTCGACCTGTACCTTAAGGGGGGTATTACATATAGGTAAT